GATGAGATATGGTGTCATACAAAGAGGCCTCATTAAGCAGTAATCCTCAAATATCGTAGGGTACTATTTATGTAAATTATTTTTAAAAACACAGTAGTATATCTGTATCAGCCAGAGTTCGTGTCATCAGAGCTGGTAATTATAATGACCTTCTTCATTACCCATTCTGCATTCTCTGCCTTTAGAAAACACCTCAGCTGGTTGTGATTGTTTACTTAGTAGGGTGACCCAAATCTTCGTTCCTGAATGGTCTGGGCCATTAGCAGTTGTGCCTGACTTGGCTGTTAGAGTTTTCTATTGATTTTAATCACAGGGCATGGTAGTATAAGAGACTCCCTAAGGGATCTTCTGTATTCCAGACTTATTTCCTTACCTCCATTGTGTAGGAGCAGCCCAGTTTGCCCTTGGTAATCAGGATCAATCACCTACATAACACAATGACTTCATTTGCTTGTTGGTTCAGAGGCATGAAGAGCCCGAAGTGGTCAGGTGGCAGTCTCAACTTCTAGTTCAGTGGAATCATTATTGTGCCTCCAGGGCAAGCATTCCTCCCTTAGATCAGTGGAGCATAAGGCGGTGGGGATGGGAAGAAAAATTTTTGCTAGTAGATCATGAGGGAGAATAGTGAGTGGAGCCACTTCCATTTCCACTTCTTGATTCCTGGACCTATGAATCCTGGCTATGGGGAAAATAGCATCATATTGGATGGTGATTTCTGCATCCTGCGGGACACTGTGACAGTCCCTCAAGGTATTTCTACCCACCTGGCACCAAAACTGAGTCTTTGAAAGGCCCTTTCACCATTATGTCAAGCCACTGCCCTAGGATGATGGGAAACATGGTAAGATCAGTGGATTCCATGAGCACAGGCCCATTTCTTCACTCCACTTGCTGTGAAGTGAGTTCTTTCACCAGAATTGGTGCTGTGGAGAACACAAGATGGTAGATAAGGCATTCTGTAAGTCCACAGATGGTAGTTTTGGCAGAAACATTGTGGGCAGGAAAAGGGAGTCCATATCCAGAGTAAGCTTTTATTTCCATAAGACCAAAGTGCTTGCTGTCATTTCCATGATGGAAGCTGTCCAACAGAATCAACTTGGGAATGGTGCAGTCTCTGCTGCTGGCGAGTGAGGCAGTGGCTGTAGCCAGGTTGGCCTTGGTGAATGGTCCCTGTTGCTGAGCCCATGCATAACCTCCATCCCTGTGATCAGGGCCACTTTGTTCTGATGATAAGCGCATCGTGTGATGAGTGGGGTGGCTGAGTAGTAACCATGGAGTGGATCATCCTAGCCACTTGATTATTACAATCCTCCTCTGCTGAGGTCACCCTTTGGTGAGCATTCACACAGGACACAAATCATGTTTCTTAGCCTCCGAGAGGTCTATCCACATACCTCTTCCCCAAAATTCACCATCACCAATTTTCCAATTGTGTTCCTTCCAAATCCCTGATCATCTAACGAAACACTGGCTACAACCCGTGAATCAGCAGAGACTCATGCCTCTGGCCATCTCTCCTCCCGGGAAAAAATAAACAACCAAGTTTATTGTTATTCTCCAAGATCATTCTGTCCCCTCACTAAATAGGTGAGTTGAGTGGGGATGCAGTGGAAGTCACTACCCCTGCATCCTTCAAGTCCCTGATGGTGGCAATAACCTCTGCAAACCTTCCAAGAAATATTGTTTTCCTAGGCAGAGGCAGTTCTAGTGGCTTCCACTTGGCCTTTCCTGCCATAATAGCCCTCACTCCACAGGTCAGGGAACCAATATGAGAATTCTGCCAGTTGCTGAGCATGTCTGTTCCAATTCTGGAACTGGACAAGTAACCACAGGGTGGCATCAGGGACCCACTGTGCCCACTGAGAGATGAACTGGAGCTAAAACTCCATGGATCACCTGTGCTCCATAAGCCCCTGCTCTGAGTGGTGGGTTTCCAGGAATCAGTTCAGAGTCAGTGTCCAATAATCTCTGAAAGGTATAATTTCTTCTTTTTCTCCAACGCACAGCAGTGACCCTGGCAAATAGCTATTGGTCCCTTTGGGGAAGGCTAAGAGAAAGATTAACAAGATAAATTTTTGGCAGTTTAGTGGCATCCTTCCTCAAGGGGACCTGGCCTTAAATAAAGGCCTCCCCTTTATTTAAGAAGTTCTGGGTCTGTGAAATGGCTTAAGCCTGGGAATTGAATGAAGGCTGTAACTCCCTGTTTTTATGATTCAAGTGAGACTTTTGTTCACCTGACCTAGAATTCTTCTACTAATACAGATCTAATAAGAGTTTAGTAGACTGCTCATCTCTTTCTCTTCCTGGGACACCATGATCAATGAGCCAACATCATAGGGCTCTGTGAGTCAGACTGTTCTGATTACTGCATTGACTCTGTTGTCCGTACTACCTTGCCTGTTGGTGATTGAGGGCCATCACTCAGCCCCTGCCACCTCATGATCCAATTGTCCCCATTGCATTTGGGGATCCCAATTTAGTAGCAATTCCGACTGTAGTTTTTGACCTATAGTAAAGAGAAGAGTGACCAGATTGTTCTTTCAGGGATGCTGGGGGCCCCTCACAAATTTATTTCTTACAGTCATGGGGAAAATTGGCTCTTCTGGACCCTTCTGGGGCGGGTGACCAGGTTTTGCATCATAAATGCACTCTAATATTACAATCTTCCTAAGCATTTGGATACTTTCCTCTACAGTATACCAAGGAAGCTCTGGCATTTCAACTTAATTTAGTATCGGCCACTTTTGGGTTCAGCTTTCAGTCAGCCAAAAACCCGTTAGAATACTTCCTAGCCCCTGGAGCTACAATAACCTGTAATCTGTACTCTCTGCTTAATAGGCCTACCTCATTAAATTTGGCCTGATCTAACTTTCTGTTCTTTCTGCCATCATCCCACATCCTTAATACCCATTCCACACATCACAGGGTGAGCAGAGAGGAGGCACTAGATCCATGCTGATGGTTGAAAAACCTCTCACAAGACCCCAAATCTGATTGTTGGCAACTGAAGACAGAGTATGTCAGTTCAGATGCTCTGGGTCAAAGTGAGGAGTGCAAGAAGTTTGTTGGGAGCAACGCCTATGGAAGATAAAGCAGGAGGACGCAGGCCTGGGCAGAGGGAAACTCAGTCCATGATACAGCCCTGAGCAAGGCCTGGTCAACCCAGCGGGAGTTGACAGCAAGGACTTGCCTTTTGAATAGTGCAGTGCGGAGTGGAGATGGCCAAGCGAGCCTCCTGCCTTGCTTAGTTATTGGGGGCTGCTCTGGAAGAGTGGACTTTGGTTTCAACACCATGAATTAACAGAGAAACAGTAAATTATCATAACTTGTAAAGTCTTTCAATAACTCTGATTTCACTAGTTGAGAGATTTTGGAAGTTTGTGGCCTGCCAAGGGAGACTGAATAGTTCAGTCCTCTAGTGCAGAGCTGTGGGAATTTTTGTAAATAACAGAGGGCACCTGTTTTCGTGCCAACTGACTCAGTCTATGAATAAATCTCTGCTTCCTATCTGCACTTGCCTGTTTAGTCAAGAATAATTGTAGAACATGCTGACCCCTGGGAGATTCCCATCTCCCCAGGGCACCTGAGGCTGGGGGGCTGCCCTCAGCTTCAGCCCACAGGAGCCCTGGCATCAGAGGGAAATGGAATCTGAAACATTCCTTGCCATGGTGGTACAATTTATTTTCCTTTTCCTTCCCGTGGTTCTTAGCCTTGCCCTTCATCTCCCAAAGAGATGCAATGGGACAAGAATAAATTTGTAAGCCAGGCTGAAAATTGGGTGAGCATAAAGAGCTAGAGTCTTGGAGCTCACAGGGATGCTCAGAATGGCAGTCACATGTGGAAAAATTTGAGCCCTGGAGACTGCATCTAACTCCTTATTTTGCTCTGCACTGGCCGTGAGATGTGGAAGTTCCTTTAACTTCTCTGTGCTTCCCAACTAATGTGATAATCACAGAACCTATCTTCCCAGGCTGAGAATGCAATGAGTTACTCTATGTAGAGAGCTCAGATCAGTCGGTGACAGGCTTAGTGAGGGCTTAGTAAATGTATCCTGTCATTATATCTACTAGCTGTTGAAATGCTGAAATAAAATAATTTCTCCATGCATTGGTAAGCCCTATCTACCCTACAGCACTGTCCTGATGGCCAAATGAAAGTTACTTGATGTCCCCCCCATCACAACCCAGTCCCCCATAGAACTCCCCAGAGGAAAATGGCTCCCAAAACTATATGCTCAGAATTCCTCCTGACAACCGATCCAAGTTTCAGGTGTTCAGGCAGGGGGCCACTAGCACCTCTGTAAAGGTGTCAAGAAGAGCACAGGGCTCTGCCCAGCTCTGAGCCCCTGAGGACACCTCATGGGCAGCCTTGCCATCCTGCCTGAGCCCCTTTGGGCTTCATTCCAGGCATCCTGGGGTGCATCACAGGCTACGGTTCCACTGTGGGGCCATGGTCTTCACGTCCTTCATTGTTGTCTGTTGTCCTAGGTTGTCTTTTGGGATCCGTTTCTTGGGTTTTACAGAGGAAGTTTCTTTGGGGAGTATGGGGGCTCAGGAGTGGCCAGGGGGAGGCTATTTTTTATGCAACTTAGGCATTAGTCGCATTCCCTGGGGACAGTGTTTTGAAGTCTCTGTCCCTACTCTCTAGCCTCTTCACCCCAGTGGTATGGGACATACGCCTCCTTTTTTTTTTTTTTAATTTTATTTTTAAGTAATTTCTACACGCAATGTGGGGGCTCGAACTCACAACCCCAAGATCAAGAGTCACGTCCTCTGCCAACTGAGCCAGCTAGGTGCCCCTGCCTCCTTCTATCTTTGCCAGTCCCTCCCATGGGGCTTTCCTTGAGCGTTTGACCAGCTCCCTTAGCCGCAGCTTCCCCGCCAGCTCCCAGGTGGCTCCTAGGCTCCGCCCTTCTGCAGGCCCCGCCCACACCACACCTGCTGGCCAATCCTGGGCTCCGCTCTGCGCGCATCACAATAGCGCCCTTGGGACCGCCTCCTGCAGTCCCGCCAGGGCCGAGTGTTGCCATGGGGACCACAAACAGCCTGGGCCAGTAGGAGAGAGGAGGACTTTCCCCAGAGGAAGCGGCCTCACCTGGGGAGACACTCACACGTACCCAAGGAGCAGGTGAGCGGCTGAGGGGCTGCGAGAGCACGAAAACAAGTCTTTCAGAGCCCCCCATAGCCCTCCTTGTTGGTTACTGAAGATTTGGGCTGTCCTTCCTGTCTCCTCACCCATGTCACCTTTCCAGATTCCTTCTGCTTCTCGTACCCAGGCCTCGCAGGTCCTTGACTCTTTGTCCCCGACACCAAAGTTGTTTCTTCCCCAAAAGTCATTCCTTTCTTCTTCGTCAAAGTAGTAACATTCTTTGGGCGTCTTGAGCAAAGCGCTCTGAGCTGAGTCCCCTGAGGCCCTTTTCCCGTTGTCAGACATTGGATTGGAGGGGAGAGTCTGGCCCAATTCTGACCTGTAGGACTGGAGACCTGGGACTGGGTGTGTGTGGTCTGGGAGTGTTGTCTCGGGGAAGTGACGTGTGGAGCTGTGGTGCCCTCCGTGACCACCAGGAAGGAAGAGCTTCTTGGGGAGGTGGACTTTCAGTGGCTGAGAAGTTGAACTGACTCCCCACAGGTGATACCCATTTCTAAGCCCCGGTCACACCTCCAAGCTTTCCACTTTATCTCACCTTCCCTCTTCCTTGAAGCTCTTTTCCCACTTTGCTTGAGGTGACATTCCTTGGTCTTTTCTCAGTGGGCCCCCTGAACCTCACCTTCTCCACCAAGGATGGTGGCAGTACCACAGGATTAGCCCTGGATCTTTCCTCTTCTCTTCATCCTGCTAAGTGAAGTTATTGAGGCTGTGGGTTCAAATCCTGTGGGCTGACTCTCCAAACCTGTCTCCAGTCCGTTTTTCTGGACACAAGGCCCAAATAGCCAACTACCTTATATACATCTACATGTGGCTGTTCTAATAACTATCTCAGATTGAGCATGTTCAAAACAAAATTACTGATTATGCTTCAAAAAACATGAACATCCATTAGCATTCCCTATTTCCAGGAAAGGAGCCAGCTTTACCTGGAGACCCAGGCCTGTTTTCTATCCCATCTCTTATCTGGTCCATGTCTAAATCCCATTGCTCCCCACTGCTCTAAACTACTGCAAGAGCCTAAGAAGGGATCCCCCTCCCCCTGTTGTTTCTCTGGATTCTAATCAACTCTCCCTACTTTTTAAAAAAAAAATATTTTATTTATTTATTTGACAGAGAGACAGCGAGAGAGGGAACACAAGCAGGGGGAGTGGGAGAGGGAGAAGCAGGCTTCCCACTGAGCAGGGAGCCTGATGCGGGGCTCAATCCCAGGACCCTGGGATCATGATGTGAGCTGAAGGCAGATGCTTGATGACTGAGCCACCCAGGCACCCCATCTCTCCCTACATTTTAAATGAGAACACATCACTGTGACCTGGATGGCTGGTACCCTCCTACCTCCCCTGCTTCCTTGCTTGGCTCACACTTGCCCCTATGCAGTCTCCTAATGTAACAAGCTCATTGTTACCTCCAGTACTTTTGCCTTCTTCGACCATCATATCTAAACCTGCCCACTGGTCTAAGGCACTCCCAAGAAGGCACTACTCCAAAGAAAGAAATACTGCTAATAAGCATGTGGAATTGTTTTCAGTTTAACAGTTGTGGTTGAATTACTGGCTCTGGACATTGAGCTAGGCAGGTGGCTTGCTCTGGCCAATGAAACTCTTGTGGCTGTAATGTGAGCAGAGGCTTTTTCTCATGTGTTTCTGCCATTGTGAGCAGAAGAATGTGCCCAGGTTGTCCATTGGCCCCAGGAGAATTAAAGACCCAGAGAACAGACCTGAGCCCATCCTGAGGCCAGACAAAGCCAAGCATATTGGCTGACACCCAGCCACCCCACAGATGCATGAATATGAAACAAAGTCTTATATGCCACAGAGACTTTGTGGCTGGCTGTTACAGAGCATGATTCTAGCAATAGTCAACTGATATACTTTCATGGGAACTTTTGTAATTCACAAAGACATACAATTTTTCATCTAGGAAACTGGCAGTGATTTATAGAGATACAGAGATAGAGACTATGAAATATGCATTTGGCAAAGGTTCAGGAAACAATAAGAGTGTAAATTGGTAACAACCTGTTTGAAAGTCTTTTTTTTTTTTTTTAAGTGGACTCCATGCTGCGCATGGGGCTTAAACTCATGACCCTGAGATCAAGCTCTGAGCTGAGATCAAGAGTCAGATGCTTAACCAATTGAGTCACCTTGGCGCCCTCCTTGTTTGGAAGTCTTATTTGGCTATCTGTGTCAAAACAAAATTTTTTTTTAAGATTTTATTTATTTATTTGACAGAGACACAGCCAGAGAGGGAACACAAGCAGGGGGAGTGGGAAAGGGAGAAGCAAGCTTCCCACGGAGCAGGGAGTCCGATGTGGGGCTCAAGCCCAGGACCCTGGGATCATGACCTGAGCCAAAGGCAGATGCTTAATGACTGAGCCACCCAGGCGCCCTCTGTGTCAAAATTCTTATACTAGCTCAATAATTCTATTACTAAAAATTTATTCTAAGAAACAATTAAGGGCATGCACAAGATAATTACTGACAAGGGCATTCACTAAAATGTTATTTCAAAGGGTGGTGAAATGTAAATGTTATCAGGGGACATTGTTGCTTTATAATTTCCAAATGATGCACACTAGAGTACTTCTGACAGAAGCATCTGTTATGTTGAATGCTTGGCAGTGTGCCAGGCAAGTAGATCTCTGAGGGAGGACTGAGTCCCATGTGTCCATGGCCCACCTTTTGTCCCATTGTCCAGAGTTCACCCTCAGGTCTGGCAACATGGAGAGAAGCTCAATCATGGCTGTTTGCTCACCTACCCTGTTCCTGGGGGAGCAGAAATTCTGCCCTGAAGAAGTGGAGGCAAAAGCAGAAACAGGAGGGATTTTCCAGCAGGGAGGGGGTGCAGATAGGTACTGGGGCTCTGGCAGGAGCCTAGAGCTACAGTGGGAAGGGAACAACATTGTTCTAGGGAAGCTACAGAAACATACTGTACTGATTTCCCAGGCCTGCTCCCACGTGATCAATGAGTGCCCTTGATGAAGCACTTACCCATGATCTTAGTTGATCTCCAGACTGGGGCTGAAACAGACAGCAGTCATCAAAGCTCAAAGGGACAATCTTCCTCCAGGTCTCCAAGTGAAAACGAGATATAACATCATGATGCTGTGCTGTTCTAAGTTCTTTGTACACGTTAATTCATTTAAGATTCATAACAAGCCAAAATGGTGAGGCCCTCACCATTATTCTATGAAAAGGGAGAACAGAAATGTAGACAGGCCACGGCTAGCTTGTGGCAGAGCTGGGACATGAACTCAGGAGTGTGTCATTCAGGTTTCATACGCTCAGCCACTATGGCTTGGATCCCAGCTGGCTGTCAGTGGCTCTAAAACACCTTCTCTGCCTCATTGCCTTGCTCTGGAGAAAGGAGCAGACTGAGGGCTGGGAACAGGCGGATTGTCCTGGCTGGCCACATCAGGGACTGCTGCAACATGTAAGATTACTTCTTAATACCAAGATTCCTTTGGAGCAGGGCTGAAGCAGAGGATGATCCTGGAGAAGTGCGAGCTACAGACTTCTCCCCAGGTATGAGCCCAGTCATCTGTCGTCTCATCCTGGGGGCTGGGGGTGGGAGGGAGCAGGAAGCATGCTGGGCTATCACTGAGTCTTTATTTTCTTCTCCCCCAGAGCTCAGGCCTGTCTCTGTCTATTCATGGAGTTTGTAAGTCAGCGGTGAAGGCTCATTGACTGAGGATGTGTGACTTGGTTCCCCCTGGACGCTGAGGGCAATGCAGTACCAATGCACAATGCAACGACATGCAAGTCTCTATGGATTCTTGAAACACAGGTCAGTGCCCCAGCCCCAGTCCTGTGGTGATTTGCTTATTTTGCTTCCAAAGAGTCCTAGGAGTCCTTACCCAGTTCCCTGGGACACTCTTTTTTTTTTTTTAATTTTATTTATTTGAAAGAGATAGAATGAGAGACAGAGAGCACAAGAGGGAAGAGGGTCAGAGGGAGAAGCAGACTCCCCGCTGAGCAGGGAGCCCGATGTGGGACTCGATCCCGGGACTCCAGGATCATGACCTGAGCCGAAGGCAGTCGCTTAACCGGCTGAGCCACCCAGGCGCCCTCCCTGGGACAGCCTTACAGGTAAGGTTAGCTGATGCTAAGAATCCTGTACCCATGAGTCTTTTTTTGTAGCATCCTTTGCTTAGTATCCAACCAGTCCCTTCCACTCTGGCTTTGAGACAGTCCTTTGTTGGACATGCAATTTCTGGCTTTTAGCTTATAATGGATCTTCGGGCAAGTATGGTAGGAAAGCAGAAACCATCTGCTGAAGATAAGACTGAGTCTTTAAGTTATAACAGTAGCCAGCAATATCAGAATGAAGAGAAGTAACCTTTTGTGGGGTTTGATACAGAACATCACAAGGATGTTCCCAGGGGACATGAACACATTGACAGAGCCAGGCTTTTCAAGTCATCCTGTAAAGCGTACAAACTCTAAAATGTTTTTATTAATATAATATTTTATTAATGCTTTGTACATTTGCCTATACAAAATTAGCCTCTGAATGACTGAACTTCACTTTTAGATTTTATAGCTTTTCCTACCCTATAGCCTTCCTACCCTGTGGGCTGGCTAAATAAGTCAGCAGGTCAACTCCTTAATGTTGCACTAATACAAAATGTAGAGCTAATGGAACATAAAGGATAGCACTGGGCCTGTTATGTCGAGGGTCTCTTGCATGTGATTGCCATGTCAGGGTGGTTAAGGTTGAGGGAGCAAGCCTCGGGCCCTAGTGGCTGGCCAGGAAACACCAAAACACCAAAATTGGGTGTAAAACCATGCTGACAGTCTTAGTTTTTTTGAGTTTAGTGTCTGATTATAAGGAAAACAACATCTAAAAGGCTTGTCTGAAGAGACTGGCCTCTTGGTTGGGGCTGAATCCTAAGTATTTGAGAAGAAGACCTAGGCACAAGGCCATGGGTAGAGAATGTCCTAGGGCATATGAAGCTAGCCCTTTCAGGATATAACACAAATGTAGTAAAACTACAAAGAAAACCAATCGAGGAAATCATTACAACTGAAGATAAAAGTGGACTTGAGGATGGGTCAAGGGGTTATGTCCATATCCAAGGCCAATGGTTTGTACCCTTGAGATGTAGACTCAGGCACCCAGAGGATGTCTGAGATAATAGTGTGTTCTCTTTCATAGACCGAGTCTTTACTTATGAACACATTGGCCCATATTTATTAGTGCTCTTTATATCTTACCTTTATAACCTCTCATGTACAAAATATCACATGTATTCTTTTAAGATGAGAAACGTGATTACACACAAAAACTTGAATCGCAATAAAATCTGTGCAATCCAAGGATACAACTATTGAGTCTCCCTGGCATAAATGTCCTATGCAAATATGGTTCAGGAAAAACTTATCATCAAGATGAGTTAAGGAAAAAGAACCAGCAAAGGATCACTTTGAAGATACTGCCCAAAAAGAGAAATAAAGGGAACACAAAGGGACGAGGGAGAAGACTGTTGCTGCGAGGTACATGGAAAGCTTGACCAAACGTCTTGTATCACATGACACAAGCTGATAAAGGAGTCACCTCTGCAAACAAGGGACACATGTTGTGAGACAAGAGCTGAGGGGAAGGTGGCAGGACCTCAGAGGAAGTGAAACGTGATCTGGCAGAGCTCAGGGCTGGGGAAGCCCAACTGGGAAATGATGTCCTCTGGGAGCAGGCAGTGGGGAAAGAAGGGAGTTGCTGTTTTCCGTGATGCAGCCTTAGACATTTGGCTCTTCAAACCGTGTGATCTATAACTATGATTTGAAACATTTACAGAGAGCCTCTTTCTTCACTCCCACCCAGTGTTGGAGTCCTCCGAGCGGCCTTGTGCCTTCTGCACCCAGCTTGACTTCTTTGAGGTCTCTTGAGTGATTCCCTGGGTGAGGCGGAGTCCCGTTCTCAGGCACATTCAGAAGCCAGAGAACCAGTTTTGGACATTGCTGACAGGTTGTGAAGGACTTTCCTAATTCCAGGAGGTGGGCCAATAGAGCCCTCTTGACTCAGATGTTATTTTTCTGGAAAGATTTTATGAATATATCTTCTGGGAGCTGGCTTTTGGATTCCAGCCTTGTGGGTTTTTCAAAAGGTAATTCTGGGGCGCCTGGGTGGCTCAGTCGGTTAAGCGACTGCCTTTGGCTCAGGTCATGATCCTGGAGTCCCGGGATCGAGTCCCGCATCTGGCTCCCCACTCAGCGGGGAGTCTGCTTCTCCCTCCGACCCGCCCCCCTCTCATGTGCTCTCTCTCTCTCATTCTCGCTCTCTCAAATAAATAAATAAATAAAATCTTCAAAAGGTAATTCTGCTGCTTTACCCTTCTAGAGTCACAGGAATGCTAAGGAGTCTGCTCACATGTCTGCAGCAGCTGGGAGGCCCAGTATAGGACTGCTCCCTGCAGTGGAGGAGGCTTTCATTAGGACAAGCTGTTCTCTCCCCTCACCCCATGGCTCCCTACTAGCTGGTCCTAGATCTCTGCTTTCTGGGGCTCCAGGAACCTTCTAGGCTCCCTCTCCTGGGCTTTTCCCTTGTTTCCTAATCTAAGCTTCTCACACCCCAAATTCCTGGTCCCTCCCAGGTGGTACAGCCTTGGTCCCTAGCTTCATAGTCCCTGACCTCAAGGCCCTCTTTCTCCTGTCAAAAATACCCTGGCCGTCTTTTCCCCAGGACCCTGGCCCTCCACTCAAGTCTCCCATTTCTTTCTGTTCTGGCTCATTGCTTCTGGACATCTGAGCACTGAATTAAAGATGGGGATGTGGGGACCTAGAAGTGATGCAGAGACAACAGTTTAGGTTATATACCATTACCATGGAGACATCCGGTCATGTGCTCTGGGTGCAGCTTCATGGGGTGGGACCAGATATAGACCAGGAGGAGTGCCAGACTCTCCCCCATATAGTGTTTCTGAGCAGCTCCTCCTGGGTCTCTTCTCTCCCCCTAATCTTCCCAGACCGTTGGGTCCCTGCGAAGCATCGGGTTCCTGGGGCTCAGTGAGGAATTGGGAAGCTTCACGATCAAGGAGCTGCCCCACTTCTAGCTCTGTGTGTGAGGGAGGCAGAACAAGTATCAGATAAGGCGCCCATCATAGGACAGATAGAGCAGAATAAACACCAGCTGAAGGAGATCATTGGAGGACCCTCAGAATCAAAGACCAGAGTGAGAGAAGTGAGGAGGTTCACTCCGCATCAGGGAAGACCAGAGAGTGGAAAAACAAGTCTTGGAATGGAAGCGCATGAAGAGGACTGGATGTACTAGAGACCCATGTGGCCCCAAGAACTCAATACCTCTGACTCTGGCTTAAAAGAGGCCCAAGCTGTCAAGCTGTGGTGAGGTCAGGGCTTTTAATGAAATAGCATCTGTTAAGGAGGACTGGGTGACTTAGGGGCTACCCTGCCCAACGATCCATGGCCTGGGCCAGTTTCTTGATGTGTTCTGGAAGCCAATGCTTATTACCACTTTATTCTTGGAGACATGGAGTGAATCAACAATGAACTGAGCCAAAGTCTAAAAATATATGCATAGAAATGTAACAAGTGCTGAGAATATGGCCAGATTGTGAATAGAAGGCTAAAGCGGCAGAATTACCTTTTGAAAAACCCACAAGGCTGGAATCCAAAAGCCAGCTCCCAGAAGATATATTCATAAAATCTTTCCAGAAAAATAACATCTGAGTCAAGAGGGCTCTATTGGCCCACCTCCTGGAATTAGGAAAGTCCTTCACAACCTGTCAGCAATGTCCAAAACTGGTTCTCTGGCTTCTGAATGTGCCTGAGAACGGGACTCCGCCTCACCCAGGGAATCACCCAAGAGACCTCAAAGAAGTCAAGCTGGGTGCAGAAGGCACAAGGCCGCTCTTGCTGATGCTCCAGAGGGGCATGCCAGCCTGCAGAGGTTCACAGGACCAGAGTGAACAGCAATGAAGGCCTTAGATATGCGGAAAGGAAGAGGGAAAGGGAAGGTAAGAGAAAGTGCAGAAATACAAAGCAAAAAGCAAAACCCATCAAAGCAAGTAAAAACGTACAAGGAGAAGAGTCAAGAGTAGGAAAAATGACAAAACTGTGGCTCCATCTGGAACGTAGGCAAGCATCTTTGGTACCAGAGAGCCCTTGCCCTCCCCACCTCTGCTAGTGGCCACAGGGCAAACTCTGGTCAAGGGCAAGACAGAAGTGACAGCTCCAAAACTGTCATAGCAGTGCATCTCGAACTGAAGTGTTTCAAAGACAAGCAGTGTAAAATCATTTCTAGGAAGACATGGGGGTGGGGTCTCATGGTGACACTTTCTTTCTTTTTCATGGAGTAGAATATGGGCTCAAAGCGGGGCCTCCCCCTGGCCTTTATTTCATTTAGGGATTGAGAAGTTTAGTGTAAATGTAATTCTTTTCAAGAATGTTTTTCCCTCCCAATTTCTAGAATTTATTGTGAAGTGAAAGTTTTATGAATCTGTGTCAACGATATCTTATGTTTAAAGATCTCCCTATTTGTGCATCTGTGGCTTCATGTGAAAAAAAAATTTCAAAATTAAGAATAATAAAAAAGAATGCTTTTGTTCTATGTTATTTTAAAGAAGCTCCCCTAGAGAGTCTGCTGTGCCCTGTGGGATGGGCACCATTCATCCTGTCAAAAGGAACTGGGATGTGAAGAATTTGGAGTTCATGACCATGTTTCTGCTGGACCCTGGACAAAGCACTTTACCCATCACCCCATTTGTCCCTCAGGACTGTGCTGTGAGGGAGGTGGGTTTCCTGAGGGCCACTGAAATTATCACACCTCCTCCTCCACAGCAAGGGCAGTGGTCAGGAGAGCCACACTGGAGAGCTCCTGGTGCTTCACCTCAGTCAGAACTTACAACCACCAAGGCCGAGAGGTCCTGTCTTCCAGCTCCCAGGACTCCCCTGTGCTCGACCTTGGTGCGCTGCCTCAGCCTCGCTCTCCTCTGTCTCAGTCCCCCCAGTGATGGGTGAGGGGGCCCAGCAGAGTCACTTCTCCACAGAGTCACTTTCTCCACCAAATGTTTGATCACGGAGGGGGTTGTGAGCTCAGACACTGCTCTGTGGGTGATGGAGTTTATCAGCAGCATTTGCCCCGCAGAGGGGGGTGCCCTGCACTGTCACCTCACCCCAGATGCTGCAGCACCTGAAACTGTGCAGGTTCTTATTGTTTCCATGAATTCTCTTTTCAGTTTTCTTAGGCTCTTTCTGCTTTCCCTGTGTTCTTGTCAGAGCACTTGCTTTAAGGTCAGAGAGGTGGGGGCAGTGACCTCAGGGCCAGTGGGGCTGCAAGGGAACCCAACACATTGCATCTAGAGGCCACCCCTGACTCCCTGAGCCCAGAGCTACCTGCCCCTTTCCCAGTCCCTCTTCAGCCTGCTCCTGGAGGCAAGCACTCTTGCTTTCATGTTGTCAGGATGCCCTTGGGAGGCCCTGGCCAAGGCTGATTTTTCTGTCATCCTTCCAGGGCACTTTTTTGTTGACACAATGGTAGGACATCTTTCCCTGCCCTCTGCACTGTTGGTCTAACCCCCGACTGACCAAAAAGCTGCCTGGCACTCAGTTTGACTGCTGTCTAAAAGGACAGGCTCAGAATTTCTGAGATCAACCCTCAGAAGACAGTTGTCTTGGTTGCCTGGGACTGGGTTCTCTGACTGACACTGGCAGTGAATTAATTCCTTCTGCAAGCTTTTGACTATCTCTCCAATGGATGACCTGGCTAGCAGCATCCTGGTTAACCAAATAACTAATGTCTTCTCACAAGGTGCTGGGCCCATGTCTGCTGTGTCTGAGCTGGGAAGCCCGGAGAATGCTGACGGCCCCCTCCTCATGCTCTGCCTCGGTTGGGATCTCAGGGGTCCTCAGAAGCAGGTCTATCTTGAGAAGCACTCTTAACTGGAGGCCCATGGAGCCTCAAGGTGCCTGACATCACATTCAGTGTTGTGTGTGGAGATGATGTATTCAGAATTGTGCGTGGATGACAATGTGCATTTTCTGAGGAGACGGCCAATAACATTTGTTGAGTTCTCAAAGGGTCTAGGAGCCATGAGAAGTTACGAATCATTTATCTAAGGAGACCCATCCATCTCAGAAAGGCCCAAGATTGACTCTCTGGATCCTTTTTCATTCCTGTTCCCAGACACCAAAGGGACAGGGAGGGGACTTGCAGGGAACCTTGTGGCCTGGGCTGAACAAGAATGTGGGAGGCAGTTCAGGACCCTGTGGTCTTCTGGGTCCCATTCAGGGTCCTGCAAAAATGACTTAATGACCCCCCATCAAGGATCATCAAGCTTCAGGGGTCCATGAAGTACACTGCTATAGGTGGGTGTGGGATTCCCACAGAGGGTCCAAGTCTGCTTGTACTGTGGTTCTGGAATAGTCCAGAGTGGCCTGAGGCTGACTCTTGAAGTGGCTAAAGCATATAACCATGTTGCTGTTAGGCTTGTGCACATTTACTTTGGGATTCACCCAGTTTCCCTTGGCTCCAATCTCTTGTAGTGAGTCAGCTGGTTTCCTGGGCAACTGGATTTTACTATTAGGTGACTTTTTAGACACAGCAACAGCCAGGCAGCCAAAATCAGAAACTCCCTATCATGTACCTTACCAATACTGGGGACTTCGGTGGGGGCTAAAATCTTTGTATGTGGCCTTTCACTGAGCTGGAACCTTGACGGTGGAAGGCCAGGGAGCAGGGGGTACCTATTCGGAGGCTGTCTCACTTTCACAAGTCCTAGAAGACATTTTTCTTTGCTTTTGTATGTTACAAATATCCTTGGCTGACACCTAATTTGTCTTGCAAGTGACTCCAAAATGTTACAATGCTATTTGGCTATCCCGTAGGGGTATTTTGGTAAAAAACACCACTGAATGGTACCCAATGACTGATCATGGGATTTGTGACACAAAAGCCTACTTGTTCCTACACACAAACTGGCTGGAAACTTGTTGCTTGCTTGCTTGCTTGCTTGCTTTCTTTCTTTCTTTCTTTCTTTCTTTCTTTCTTTCTTTCCTTTTTTAAGATTTATTAGAGAGAGAGAAAGAGGGAGAGACTCTCAAACAGACTCCCCACTGAGCATGGAGCCCAGTATGGGGCTCCATCTCATGATCCTGAAGACATAACCTGAGCCAAATCTAAGAGTCGGACAGTCAACCAAGTGAGCCACCCAGGCGCCCCAGAAACTTGTTGCTTTCTTTTAGGATTGCCCCTGATGTTGCCCAGTGTCCATTCTGGCCCATCAGTTTCTCCTCCAGGGAAAAAGAGATCAGGTAACTTACTTCAAGTAGGAAAAAAACTGGGCCTTGACTTAAAACAGAAACCCTAACCACTTAAGGGGAATTCTAGATTGCTTTTTTCTTTCCTCATGCCTCTTCACTTCATGCTTTACAGGAGACCCAGAAAATGGACTAGTGCTATGGACTAGCAGGTGAGTTAGATCAAGACATTGAGGCTATAGATCTCCTTGATTAAGAGGTTTTTGAAAAAGGACTGGGAGTCGGGTGAAGCAGGCATGGCACTCAGCTTAGGGACATTTAAGAGGCTGTCAAAAATCCCTGTAATCCAGCCAATGTGTTGTTCTGGTGGTGGAACAGTGGATTACCCTGTGCCTGGCAAAATGGAGCTCGTGAATCTGGCTGTCTTCCCCCATCTGACTGTGGTGCTGGGCCCTTGGCTTGCTCTCTACCACCTGGTTCTTCATTTATGAAGTTACCTCCACATTTATGAAGTACACTTGGGATATCCACAAAGAGCTTCTCATCTTCTTGGTGTCCTCACTCTTCCTGGGCTTTGGAGTCCTCTTCCCGCTGCTCTGGGTTGACATCTACATATGAGCTCCCAAGGGTTCCAACCAGGAAGCCTCAGTGAATCCCTGCTTTTGTAAATTAATTTTTTTTTTACTGTTGCTAGAAGTGTCCCACCTGCTGCTCACAATAAAGGCAGATGTGTGACTGAAAAAAACCCCAAAACAACCTAACCCTGTAATGAAGATAATATTTTAATGTAATCTTTTTTTTAAAAGATTTATTTGAGAGTGAGTGAGAGTGAGAGAGATCACAGAGGGAGAGGGAGAAGAAGACTCACTGCTGAGAGGAGAGTCCGATGCAGGGCTCGATCCCAGGACCCTGAGATCATGACCTGAGTTGAAGGTAGACGCTTAACTGACTGAGCCACCCAGGTGCTCCTTAATGTAGTCTTTTTAAAAAATCAAAACTAATTCCAAAAAGCCCATGATAAACAAAATGTCATTTTAGATAAAGAAGGCTCAGTAAGAGTGCCATGCTCAGCTGTACTGGAATTTGAGGCTGAAGGAAAAATCAGTGATGCTGATCCTGTTTTTATTTAAAACTGTGTAGATGCTGAAAGGGCCACCCCCAGGTGACACTCGAAACAGATGGAGATGTGCAGGGATGGTCCCAGGTTTGATGGACCATCCAGGGGTGCTGCTCCCACAGCTCAGTGTCTACATTCATGGGACATCACTACTGGGCTGCCTTCTTCAACATAACCTCACTCTCCTAAGAAACTCTCATAAACAACTTTATTGTTCATTCTAACAACATCTGGAAAGACCCATCAACTCCTCAATAGGAAGCAGGAAACAACAGTTTAGACATTAAAACACTTTGAACCTTTGCCTTGCTATGTCCACCAATCCTAAACTATCATATCATGAGCTTATGCAGTTCTAAGCCCTGGAGTTGAAACACCCACACTAAACCAGACTTCAAAGTCTCAAAACATCTTGGCCTTGCTTTTTCCAACCAACATGCCCCACAACACTCTGTTGAGGTAGTTGGTGTTCTCCCTTCTCAGTTTCATCTTATGGAAAGAAAAGGAGGGAAAGAAGGAGGTGGGGGAGGAGAGAGGGAAGGAAAAAAAAGGAGGAAGATGGGAAAGGAATGAAGAAGAAAAGAAAAAAGAAACAATGGGTGTATCAGATGAGTTTCTTTCTATTCTTGGTCTTCTATTTATTATGCAAACAGTAAAAAGAAGTCAAGAGAAAAATAATTACCTAAGATGCAATCTTGTGGAGGAATTAAATTTGTTTTTTCTTCTTTTTTCCAGTATCTGTTAAAACCATTAATAATTTAAAATAATCTGAAGAGATCATAAGTAAATTTTTATATTCCGCATATTTTTAAGTGAAATAAAAATGGAAAAACCCTGAAGCCACACCCAGCACAGGCGGAGGGAGTAGAGATGGATGGAGTAGCTATGCCTGCACTGGTTTGGGAGGGATCGTGTCATCCCTGAGCTAAATCTGAGAATAAAATCAAGATTTCAGTGAAACCTGTCCCTCTAATCTGAATGTCTCCTTCCCAGTGTTACAGCATGGGGGTTTATTGAAAGAATATTTCCTGGGGCAGCCTGGGTGGTTCAGTCAGTTAAGCTTCTGCCTTCAGCTCAGGTCATGATCCTGGGGTCCTGGGATTGAGCCCTACATCGGGCTCCCTGCTCAGCGGGGAGTCTGCTTCTCCCTCTTCCTCTGTGCGCGCGCGCGCTCTCTCTCTCTCTCTCTCAAATAAATAAATAAATAAATAAATAAATAAATAAATAAAATATTAAAAAAAACCAAGAAAGAACATTTCCTGACATTAATATCTGAAAGAAGTTTGTTTGAGTGGTCACCTGTCTCAAGAATAAGACAAATAGAAATAACTCTCATAATTTATAATTGAAGAAACAGAAGCCTAGAGACAAAAATATTAGTATCTGTTCCCAAAAGGTTAGTATAAACCCCCATATACAGCATCATTTACACTTCAGTGAACTTCTGGTAAGTGACATCTTTTTAGGGTTCATTTTTATCCTTTGAAGAACTGAGATGAAATCTCTGCAGCATTTCTTATTTATTTATTTATTATTTTTTATTAACATGTAATGTATTATTTGTTTCAGGGGTACAAGTCTGTGATTCATCAATCTTACACAATTCACAGCACTTGCCATAGTACATACCCTCCCCAATGTCTATCACCCAGCCACCCCATCCCTCCCACCCCCCTCCACTCCAGCAACCCTCAGTTTGTTTCCTGAGATCAAGAGTCTCTTATGGTTTGTCTCCCTCTCTGGTTTCGTCTTATTTCATTTTTCCCTCCCTTCCCCTATGATCCTCTGTCTTGTTTCTCAAATTCCTCATATCAGTGAGATCATATGATAATTGTCTTTCTCTGATTGACTTATTTCGCTTAGCACAATACCCTCTAGTTCCATCCACGTTGTTTCTCTGCAGCATTTCTTCCTGCGTTAAAGCACACTGATTGGGAGCGGGGCAGCCATGTACCCATTCAAAAGGGTATCTTTTCCAGCCTCCCTAGCAGCTGGATTCCCTGTGTAGTCCCTATGACTACATTTCAGGCAATCTGTATGGAAAAGACTATGTGTGGTTTCTGAGCAATGTTCTTACTAGGGAGGGTGTGCACCCTTCTCAACCCTTCTTTCTCTTTGTTGTCCAGAATGTATATATCATGGCTGGAGCTCTAGCAGCAATTCTGGGCCATCCTGCCCTAGAATGACAGTGCAAAGAGCTAGGAGCCCACATCCCTGTGGATAAACAGAGTGCTATCCATGTTTACACTATAGCTCTTTGGGATTTGTTTGGGGATAGAGTTAATCCTTCCTGATAAAGCTTCTCTCTTGGAGTTGCTGTGTGGACATCCAGAGGAAATCTCCAAGTTGGTCCATGTGGTGTACATCTTTTTTTTTTTAAGATTTTATTTATTTATTTGAGAGAGAGAGAGAGAGCACAGAGGGAGAGGGAAAAGCAGACTCCCCGCTGACCTTGGGATCATGACCTGAGCCGAAGGCAGACGCTTAACTGACCGAGCCGCCCAGGCGCCCCATGTGTGGTGTACATCTGAGGGAAAACCTGAAAGTCCACAAAGTCGAATGTTTAACATGACCAAATTCAGCACAGGTGGATTTTAGGTAATTGCCACTTTTTTCCTACTGCTTGACTTTTTTGTTTTTATTAATTTTCTATAATCAAGTATCACATAATAAAAACTAAAACGGAATATAAAGAAAATATTAAGAACATTAAGGGGCATCAGCAGATAATTCACAGAACCAGAAGTGTACTTTTAGCTGCCATGAAAAAATGTTCAACTTCTTGAGTTATTAAGTGAAAACCCAAATCCTGAGATTCTCTTTTGCAGTTCTCAAGAATCAGATTATCTTTACATAATAATACCCAGGGTAATAGAAGACATGGTGAGCCCATCTGTCACAAATACATATAAAACCTCCCCAGTGAGGCACAGGACAGATGGGGGTGGGAGATGTGGTAGGGGCAAGAGAGTTTGCTAAAGTTCTTCTTGTGTGGGGTGCCTGGGTGGCTCAGTTGTTAAGCGTCTGCCTTCAGCTCAGGTCATGGTCCCAGGGTCCTGGGACTGAGCCCCGCATTAGCCTTCCTGCTCTGCGGGAAGCCTGCTTCTCCCTCTCCCACTCCCCCTGCTTGTGTTCCCTCTCTTGCTGTCTGTCTCTCTGTCAAATAAATAAAATCTTAAAAAAAAAAAGTTCTTCTTGTGGCAAGAAAGAAATGGATACTGTTAAGTTTAAGAAACAAATATAAATAAATATAAGTATGGCTCTTAAGGACAACCATTATAAAAAACAAAGTGCATTGCTTTTTAAATTTGTATTTATTTTTTTGAGAGAGAGAGTGCACGTGCACATAGGGTTGGGAGGGGCAGAGGGCAAGGGAGAGAGAGAATCTTAAGAGGCTCCACACTCAGCACAGAGCCAGGTGCGGGGCTCAATTTCACGACCCTGAGATCATGACCTGAACTGAAATCAAGAGTTAAAGGCTTAACTGACTGAGCCACCGCTTTTAAAGCACTAGGGAAATACTCCCCCAGATTTGATCTATACAATGGACACATGAAAGAAAAGTAGATAAAACCTCTTAGAAAACTAGATCTATAAGGGAACTTCCTTAATCTTGTTAAAGTTATAAACCCAAACCTTAACATCTACTTAATTTAAAACTTTAGAAGCATTCCCTTTATTTATTTATTTTTAAAGATTTTTATTTATTTATTTGACAGAGAGAGACAGCGAGAGAGGGAACACAAGCAGGGGGAGTGGGAGAGGGAGAAGCAGGCTTCCCACGGAGCAGGGAGCCTGCTGCGGGGCTGGATCCCAGGATCCCAGGATCCCAGGATCATGACCTGAGCTGAAGGCAGACGCTTAACCCACTGAGCCACCCAGGCGCCCTGAAGCATTTCCTTTAAAACCAAGCACAAGATCTGATGTCCACATTATAATTCCTGCTTAGCGGGGGGAGTCTGCTTCTCCCTCTCCCTCTGCTCCTCCCCCACACTCATGCTCTCTCTCTCTCTCTCTCTCAAATAAATAAATATAATCTTAAAAAGACAACTCCATTGTTAAACATAGTTCCAGAGCCTGGCAAAACTCTAGGATAAGAAAGGGAGGGAGCGGGGAGAGGATAGGTAGGTAGGTAGGTAGGTAGATATCTAGATAGATAGGAATAAATGAGAGGAAAGAATATAAAGAGGGGGGAATCATAACACTGACAGAATCTACAGGCAATGTGATCATCTGTTGAGAATATCCACTACATAAAACAACTATGTGTTTTGCCCTAGAGCTTCAGGAAGCTCCTCCTTAATCTGGATGTCTTCTCTTTATGCCCAGGTTGTCTTTAGGGAAGAAGTTAGGACATACCCAGACAATGGTAGTTCCAACAGTAGGAAAGTCTTTGTTTCTACCTCCAGCATCCCAGGGGTAGCATGAGAGACAGAAAGCCTTGGGATGACCACGGCTTCAAAAGCCAGCTTTTCTGTTTTTACTGTGTTAATACGTTTTGTATCAGTACATAAATATTATGTGTGTTGCTTTCTCTCTCTCTCTCTCCACACACATCCACACCCATTACCCCTCTCCCCGCCCCCATGCACATGCACACGCACCCTTACCTTGACCAAAGAAGTGCAAATCAGAATCAGAAAAGTATTCACTAAGTGACATTTCAGGTTGTGGGCCATTAGCTATCTTTTAGGTTTTACCTTAGAAAGACTGGTAATTTTATAATTGCCTGCCCATCCCAGAGGAGGGAAAATCAAGTGTATGTATTTCACAAGAAAAAAAGCCAAAAGCCAACAGCAGCCAAAGGAAATTCTGATTTACCTTCTCTGGCATCAACTCCAGGATATGTTCTGATTGAAAATTCAGGGAAGAATATATGATCCCTGTGATTGTTTCCAGGAACTGAGCCCAGAGAAAGTGAAGGCTTTATAATTAAACCCTGGTTAAATGTTAACATCCTTAGGAATATATTTCCTTCAATGGGCACTTCTTGCTTTTCCAGCATGAATTAGAGATAAGTTGATGGGACATGGCAAGTTAAGCACTTAGCCCTGTGCCTGACAGGCTGAGATTTCAATTCTACAAACTCAGATGGCACAGATGGCCGTGTGCTTCAGGACTCAAGGATGAGAAACCGGGATGGTGTCAGGACAGTCACATGGGCTGCATTGGTGTAGGTGGAGGGTACTTTAGTATTTCCTTCCATCTACATGGTGAGCAAGAAGGACATGTGGAAGACTCTCCTGTTGTCAGGAAACATATGTAAGAAAGAAGCCAAGTCCTTATTAGCAAGCTACTTTGTA